ATGGGTCGGACCAAAAGTTCATCTGTCCAAGTATCCTGTCTTCCAACAGTGGCCAATGCCAGGTGCCCCAGAGCTAAGCAAGTGATCCATCCCGTTGCCCATTCCCAGCTTCTGGCAAAAACCAGATAATGAGGTTGCAGCCCTGATCATCTTAGCTAATAGCCATTCACAGACCTGTCCTCCATGAATTTATATAATTCTTTTTTTTAATCCAGTTATACTTTTGGCTTTCACAACATCCCATGGCAACTGTGGATGTGTGAAGTACTTCCTTATGATTGTTTTAAATCTGCTGCCTATGAACTTCACTGGGTACCCCCTGGTTCTTGTGCTATGTGACGGGGTAAATACTTTCTTATTTGCTTTTTCCAAACCATTCATGATTTTATAGACTTCTATTATATCCCCCTTAGGCATCTCTATTCTAAACCCCAGTCTTTCTAATCTTTCCTGAAATTGAAGCTGTTCCATACCGCTAATCATTTTTGTTGTCCTCCTCAGTACCTATTCCAATTCTAATATACATTTTTTAAGATGGGGTGACCAGAACTGCATGCAGTTTTCAAGCTGTGGGTGTACCTTGGATTTATATAGTGGCATTATGATAGTTTCTGTCTTATTATCTATCCTGTTCCTAACATTCTGTTAGGTTTATTGGCTTCCACTGCATATTGATGTTTTCAGAGAACGATCCAAGATGACTCCAAGATCTCTTTCTTAAGTAGTAACACCTAATTTAGAACCCATCATTTTGTATGTATAGCTGGGATTATGTTTTCCAATGTTCATTACTTTGCACTTATCAGCACTGAATTTCATCTGCCATTTTGTTGCCTAGTCACCCGGTTTTGTGAGATTCCTTTGTAACTCTTCGCAGTCAGCTTTGGACTTACACATTGGGGTTCTCAAACTGTAGCCCATGGATCATTGGTAGTCTGTGAAGAGCTGGCAAGTCACATGATGCTAGCTCCTCCTCCTGACTTTCAACACATGAAGTGTAAGAGTTGGAGAAGGGGACCAGGTGGCAGGGAAGCATGTGCAGAGAAGCAAGGGGAGAGAAAGAAGCGAGGCACAGAAGAATCAAAGTAGATAGTGGCTTAACTGTTTTCAAAGCAGGTCAGAATGTTCACTGAATTAAGGACAGTTCCAAATACAGAAACACTTTCCTGATATTACTTTTCTGTGCAAGCAAATGCTGCAGTTGCCACAAAGGTGTTGTGGGTAAAGTGGAGGTGGTCCATTAAGTCACAATTAAAAAGGAAGGTAGTCTGACCATTGAAGACAGGACAAATTGTTTGTGAGACACTCTGTAACAGGATGGTCTGCCCCTTTAAGGGTTGGGAGGCCTGGGCTGGCCAGCCCTGTTCAGTCATCAGACCCAGCTGGGAAGGGAATAAGTGATTATAGAAGCTGACAAGGGCTCAGTTGAGGGGGCTGCTGCAGAAGGGCAGTTGGAGCTTCTCGTAGATCCTGGAGGAGGAGAACTCCTAGGCAGATGGCTTGGAGAAGGAGGACAGAGGAGTAGCAGGAGGGAGATGAGTTCCTGCAGTAGGCCCGAAGCAGGAGGGACTGAGAGAGGCAGTGCAGAAAGGCCCTGGGGATGGTAGGCCAGGTTGGGCAAAGGAACAGTTTTGTGTTCAAGGTTTTCCCTGTGTTCCTCACTGGAGAAATAAAAATGTGCCTTGAAAGAGACTGTGGGTGTGACAGTGGATACGTCTTCACCGCCATAAAAAACCCACGACCCCAAATCTCAGAGCCCTGGTCAATTGACTCAAGGGTCTCCAGTGTGATCCTGAATGTCTACACTGCAATTTTTGGCCCTGTAGCCCGAGTCAGCTGACCTGGGCCAGCTACAGCTGTGCCACAGAGTTTTTATTGCAATGTAGACATTCCCCAGTGAGTCCTTCACAGGCTGGGGAAACAGGCCAGCACCTTACACACACACAATTAAAAAGTGTGCTCCCTAGAAAAGAGTTTGAGAAACCATGCCTTACCTCCCCCTTGAGTCTTTCCTCTCTAACCATCCAAAAGCTAGGAAGGGGGCAAGTAAGTCACTGATAGAGACAAGATACGTGGCCAAAATGTGCTTCCCCTTTACCATTTTTACTTAAGCTGTGATTTGAAGGACAACATTATTCTATTCACTGCAAACAAAAAAAGCTGAGAACAGATATTTCAATTAGACATTGAGGCCTGTTTTATTACAACAGACCTACATTGTCTAAAGTGGCTGGCAGTTTTGGATCCTTCCATTTCTAGGAACCCCCAAGTTAAATCTCAGTAGAGCTGATCACCCTCAATCCCAGCCTAAATCAATGTGCATTTCAAGTTTACTACATTCTAGAAAGACTGGACCAATGTGTCTCCTAGCTGGGCATTCCAAAACTATGGGAGACCTAAGACCGAAATGTGATATATCAAAAAACATTGTGCAATTATTGTGTCCCAAGCAAGAAAGCAGCAGCATGGGAAGCTATTTGGGGCTCTGAATTCCCCGGAAGAATGTAGTTGTTCTGCAATAAGGGCTCAGACGAATGCAAAAATGTCAATTTTTCAACATAGCCTTTCATTGGTCAGAGCTACACAAGACATAATACGTAGAGGGTATTTTAAACCACGCATCGCCCAAAGCAGCATGAAGGGGCAGCAAACCTATGAGGGGGCTGAGTTTAGCATCCTGGAAATAATCGTGCTATGTAGTTGAAAGCTATGCAAACGTGATAAGGTATTGTATTTTGTTTCTGATGTGTTATCAGGCCTTTGCGGGTTATTGTTAGTCTCAGCACTGAAACGCAGATTTGACTCATGGTGCTCTTATTGTTCATCCAAACGTCAAAAACCCTTGCACTGCACTGTTTCTGACACACGCCAAAAAGCCTATAACTGACAGCTCCAGCAACACGTAGGTTCTACTATTACTGTATAGAACAATACAGTATGATTTGCAGAAGTGAACACCGCCAAACATATTGAATTTTACTGAAAAAGAAAAAAAATGCAGCATTTTGGCAGTTTTATGATGACATGACCAGATCCACACAAACTCCTGGCAACAATGAGGAGTACATGATGTTCTGGAAAATCAATATATAGCTTGCAGAGGGAATCCTGATGAGAACAGTCAGTTATTTAGGTTGGAAATCGCTTATTCCCAAAGTCATAAAACCCTTCATTGCAGGGGCTGTATGTATCCTTGACAAGGAAGGAACTGGGCATGACCTAGGCTCAGCTTCATGCCTCGAGAAATCTTTGTGTTTGTTTGTTTTTCTCAAGTGAGCTTGCAGCCAGGGCAACTTGCAGAATATTATTAATGAAATTGCCCTCTCCTCTCCTGTTGGTTAGGATATGCAGGGTGATGGCATGAGCCATGCTCCTGCTTCCTAGTTTAACCCATCAAGCTCTACTCAAACTTTTCCTTCCCCTACTCCACAGTCTTTTGAATGGTCCCACCTTTCCACCCACAAAAAAAAAAACTGTACCCTCAATAACATAGCACTCAAGAAGAATTAAGCCCCTCAAAGTCTTCTGTAGGCTTAATTTATGATCCCATCTCTAAAGTACTATTTGAGGAGAGGAGCCACTAACCCAGTCAAAAGTAGAAGAGAATTCATTCAAGCTTGGATTTTCAAAGCTGCGTAAGGAAATTAGGAATCCAGCTCCTAGGAAAATTCGGTAGGAATTGGGCACCTAACCCCTTTCTACTTCCTTGATAATCCCAGCCTTAATTGCCTGACTGGCTGAAAATTGCTGGAGCCTCATGGTTTAATACTAGTGTGAGCCTCAGGCCACATTTCCCCTCTAATTTTGGAAAAATGCAGTGCAGTTTTTCAGGCCTAGCTAATCCCCTCTCCTATACACCATCTCAGTCGTCAGCACAGCCTGCTAATCACTTTACACACGCAGAGCAGTTAAAGAAAGAGATGTACTATGCAGAATGAACCTACCGTTCAGCCAGGTGTTTGTTCATGTGCCTGGAAAAATTAGCAGTTCCCAGAAGCTGAGTTTACTTTCTTAAAAGGGAATATAGGTTCACTCATCATTACAAAAAGCACATTCAGGCAAGCACTTAAATGTATGGGCCTTCCAAGCAGGGAGCCATGTACAGAGGAGTGTAGTAACAGTTAATGTACTGAAGAGTCTCTAGTCACTTTTTTTAGAAGGGTCAGTCTGGTTTAAAAAGGGGGGGGGAGGGGAATTGAGATAATGGACGTACACTAAAACCTAGTACTGCCATTAGCATTGTCAATTAATATTTTATATTCCCTTGAAGTGCCTTTTGAGGAAATCAGCCTTCATTACCAGAGGTTCTCCACCATAAACACGGCAAACAAAGTACCTCAACTGACAGCTACAGCATCATAAGCGAGGAAAATAGAGTTAATGTAGAATCTGGGGAAATAAACAGACTGATTCAGAGTCCGAGATCAAATGGGCATTTAGATTCCAACACACACAGAAGTTCTATTACTCAAGCCAAGATTCTGCTACCTTTACTCCAACTCCACAAGTTGCTTTAGTGAAATCAATGGGATCATTTGAGGAGTAAAGTACTATTGAACATCAGTAAGGGTATCAGAATCTGGGCCTTAATGTTTGTGTGCTGCTTTGAAAATGATAAGTGCTATATAAGTGTTCAATATTATTAATATTCTCACCCAATTGTCCAGGAAAGGTGGCAAATAATTTTTTGAGGCTCTGGTTCTTCAGAATTGCTAATTTGATGGGGCTTGGATTTTAAGGTCATTTACATTGCTCCGTCAGTGTTCTGCCAAGTATTTTTTGGCACCAGCCAGCTAGGTTCTTTCGTAGCTGAGTGAACCCAGTCAAAATTGGCTGGCAAAAGGCAGGACTTTTTAAAATTTATTGTGCTCCAATCAGAAAGCTGCTGAATGCTGCGCTTCTCAGAAAAGTGCTGTCCTTGTCCTTTTAAATGAAAGCTAGTCGGTATTCATTAGGAACAGGCCAGAGCTATTTCAGACACTGAAGACAGCAGACACAGATCAATAGAAAAAAATAACTTTTTATTTACAAAAAAATCCAAATATTGGATGCTGTAAACAAAATTCACAATCTGTTCCCTCTAGCACTGATGCAAACACTTCAGCTCTTAGAGTCTGTTTTCCATCAGCTCTTTTTTCTGTCTGTGACAGAGCCTATAGTCAAAATGTTCCACAAGAGCAATCCAAGGAGCAATTTGCTGCAACAGGATGCCTCACAGAAGGCAACAGTTGTATGGAATTCTGAGGGAGATCAAATGTGCACAGCCTCCTACAGACTGCAAGAGTTTGCAGTGCTTCAACCAAGCTGTATTGAAATTTGCAGGCCTTTTTTTTTTGCTATTTACTTTGTTAGCAAGCCATTATTACAACAGCAAGATAGTACACGGATTTTCTTTCTTGCAGTGGAAATTGTCTGCTAAAAGAAAACCATACAAAAGAGTATATTCAAATAGATGCTGAATATGTCATTACATTTTCTTTCCTTTTCTTATATCTGCAGTTTTACCTAACACACTTCATTTTCTCAATGAAACAACAACAACAACAACAAAAAGCCTTCTTTTGAACTGGCATGAGCCTCCAACATAATACGCTTCATATGCAGAACATTTAACAAGATGTGATTTAAAGCTTTGCTTGAAGGACTTTGTGTAAAATAAGCAACAAATTGTTTTTAAAGCACACACAAAAAAAGGAGTTAGGAAAGATATGGTGTGATCTCATTGGTGTTTTTACTTTCCCTTCTATTTTTAAGAGAAAGTTCTTACATTTTGGGGGTTTTATACATATCAGAAAATAATCTGATTTCAAAGCTCTCAGATGTTTCATTATATTTATATTAAAACAAGTTTAGCTCCCTGTTGATTACCAATAAATCCAACTGTCACACAACAGTTTGACTGTAATCAGATCAACCTTTTTAATCAGTTCAGCATTTTAAAGGGAGTACTGTTTCTTCAGCAAGTTCTAAGCTGAAATGGCTGATTGGATCGGAAAGTGAAGCCTACTGAATACCAAGAGCTTTTTTCCTGTAAAAGTACTAGTGTTCTGAAGCGAGAGAAAGAGAGAGAAAAAAAACAAAAATCAGACGTTATGAAGGGGAAGGTGTGCAAACCACAGAAGCAATCCAGCTTTGAAAAGATGTTCTTATTTTACTCTTGGCCTGAACTCATGACTCCTTCCCACCACTGACATCAGACACCTTTTAAAACTACCAGCCACCGAGAAAACAAAGCCCTACCAGTTCCACCACTTGTTCATTTACATATGCAAAATAGGTCTAATACCTATATAATATATCCCAAAACATATTATATATGTATCAAAATGTGCATGCTGAAAGGTGCAGTAGGCTGAGCCCTGCTGCATGTACTACAAAATGAACAGCTGCTGTCAATCATAAAAAGTAATAAAATTTCAGCTGAAAGAGGAAATAAATCAAAACTTTTTTTTAAAAAGGCTGCCCTCCAAAGGAAAAGTACATTGTCTCATGTATTATCAGCATTTTGTGGTTGAGGCACAGCTATAGATTCCCAAACCCTTTTAAATAGCAGATGACTCATTTATTTGCTGCAAATAGTTGTGGTAAGAGAGGACATACCACATTACCAGCTGATCCTATTTCCCCAGCCCTCCCCTTAGCTTCCGTTAGAAAACCCTTCAGACAGCTACAGGCAATGCTCTGGGTTTGACAAGTACATCACAGTCTTGATCTACAGCTTGAAGTAATAGGCCATGTGAAACAAACCCTTCCTTTTCATAATTAATCAAGAAAGGCCTTCCCCTGACCAAAGAGAGAGAGGAAAGAATGCAGCCAATGTGGAAGGGAGGGAGAGAAGAAAAGAGAAGGTGGGGACAAAGACTCCCAAGTAAACACAATGAAATAGCTTTTCCATTTCCTGAAGAAGTCACAAGAAAGGTGCTTCAGTAAACAAATCAGGTTCCTGTTAAACTTGCCTTCAAAGATAAAAGTACAAAGGGCAGCAAAAATAAACTTGTCTTAGTAGCTCTGTAATGACAAGGGGAGAACACACTTCCAGGATAACAGTTCCCTTTCCAAACACACATTTTTAAACATAATCTTCTTTTACCTGAAACTTAAATGATGCAGAAAATACTGCACTAGAATTTCAAAACCAGTCCTCCCCCAAGAGATGTCTCTGAAGTGAAAATAGTGAAACGGTCGATTTCTTCCCACCCCCCACCCTCCACTGGTCTCTTGGGCGAGGAAACGAAAGTGAATAGTTATAGTTCCAATGTAAAGTGATTCCATTTAAATAAAGTACAGTACTAAACTTGTAAATGCAGTGTGACAACCAGATCAAAGATGTTTAATATTTGCATAAAAATATATATAATATATATATATATATAAAATATAATTTTAAGCAACCGTGCAACACTCTTAAAAATGATTCATTTCACATTTACTAAATTCTAGTGGTCCTGGAATGCATAATGCATTCTATTAAAATATTCCTTTAAATATTAACAATTAGTGTTCAAATGACCAACTAATACAATATTCTTTAGCTGTCAGGGGGTTTAAATAGCCTATCTTTGATCCACGTTCCACTGAATTATACATCATGGAGGTATGCAGTCACAAAATTAGTGGGTTAAATGTCAAAATGGTATTACAGTACAAAATGTGAAAAAAAGCATCAGCTAATCAAATGTTTATCCATTTGTGGAATTATTATGGCTCACAAGCAACTCACTGAATTACTGTAATCTTTGTTCTTGCAACCAAAGACATTTATTTGTATCCCACCTTAATCCTGACTGGTTCATTTACTGCAAATTTTCAGGTGTGGGTTATAAATTCTCTGCAAGGTGCTCACTGTCCTATGACATCCTGTTGCAAACTGGAAAACACACAGTACTTTATTTAAACATTCCTTAATTGCTACATTTTCCTAGACCACATTTAATATATACATTGTGTGTGCGTGTTTGTGTGTATTATATATATATTATATACACACACACACACGCGCGCACACACAAACATACACACACGTACCTATGATAACATCACACTGACAATATTAACTTTATACAGGTATTTGCCAAGGAAAAAATAGGGCATTTTCTCCACCACTGATTCACAAGCTTGTGTTTTTTTGTTTGTTTGTTTGTTTTGTTTGTTTGTTGTCTTCTTGTGTCCCTGATAAAACAAAATGCACGGTTAAAAACCACAAAACTATATTTTTCTCACTTCAAATTTTCTGAAAGCATCAGGCACTTTTGATTAACATTGGTGTGTACAAATATAGCAACATCTTTTTATATTCTACTGTATCTCCTTTGCTTGGATAACTTATTTGTGAAATCTTTGGTCCTTGAGCATATTTTGTTTGCTACACCTGTTTTTCTTGCATTTTCACATTTTTAAAATGTGAAGCATGCATGCAGCTGGAAAAAAATGGACTTTATCGTCATGTGTTTTTTCTGGATTTATGATAACTGTACCAATCTCCTACAGTTCATTTGGAGCAAGCTGTTTCTGTTAAAGCATTCTAGTCAAGCAAGCTATACATTCTACACAATCTTCCCATAGACAGCACTTGTTGCAAGTCCCAAAGGCAGTAATTCCAATATACATTTTATTTGAACTTATCTCTGCTTCATGCCTCTACTTTTAACTCCTGAATATATGTAAGCAAATTGTTTTGTTTTTTGAGGTTTTTTTTTTTCCATATTCTCCCTTTTGCAGATCCCATTCTAAAAAAAAAAGGCTTTCCAACCTTCTCTATGCCAAAGCTATGGGAGCAGGTATTGCCAACCCATATTGTCATCAAGCATTCCTCCCTTGTTTATTTCAGGGGAAGCTATTTGCTTTTAATGACAGGTCTCTTGTGCTCTGGGGTAGAATCCAATTATTTCTGCTTCTTTTCTAGATCATGCTCACATAATTTATAAGAAGAACCACAAGCTTTACCAAACTTGAAAGCTAGAGCAGATCATCATTGCACAAAGAACCCCATTTTAAGGAGAGCATCACTCCTTTCTGCTTGTTAGAAAATGTTCTCCCCACCAGGTGTATTAAAACGGTCCTTAATTGCAGGGCAACCAAGTCGAGTATGTGTGCTGCTGGCACGTGAATACCGGTTGAACCTGGGCAATATAGTAATTGCTAAAGTTGGCATCTGCTACATATGGGGCTGGCTGGTAATAGCAGGTGACATTGGCCACATTGGGGATGATATTTTGCTCAGCAAGGACACGGATGGCCAGCATGGTGATAAGATTTAGAGTCTGTCTCCTCTCATGTCCCATCAGGCACACTGTGCTCTCATTCACCACACCATGAAGGGTCATGAGATAGTCATACTTGCGGTCCTCTAATCCCACAAAGTGGTTCTGCAAGTAAGACTCCAACTTTCTTTGCTGTTCTCCAATGTCTGAGAAGTCAATGAAAAACCTGGAACACATGTATCTCTGAAGGGACTTAATCTCAGATTCTGAGGCAGCCCTAAAGCCCCTTACCAAAAGGTTGCAGTACTTAAGAAGGCCACCTCCTCTGATTTCTTCTGGGTTTCTGGTGGCAATTATCTTGTTGCAGAGATGATCAAAGGCTTCTTGGAAATCCCCATAGACACTCTCACCAATGATGGTCGGGTGAAAAGTTTCAGTCATGGGATTCTCTGAGCATTCATAAAAAAGCAGAAGGGAATCTAATTTGATTTGAAAGGAGTCTACACTGAACTCAAACTGCCTCCTCAGAGAGTCCACAAACTTCAGCTCCACGTTTTTGCCACTGTTGTTGGACAAGGAGATGAGACTCCATCGGTCTGAATCATTGCATACTTTTACCATTTTCTGCACATAAGCTTCCTATAATTTGAAAGACAAAATGACCAAATGAAGAAACCAATACAAGTAATTCCCCTTCACAGACTTCATTTGCATTCTCTCCCACCTCCACCCTGTGCCCGCTTTTTGCGAACTATTTTAAGGAGTCTGGATAAAAACTGAAGGAGACATATTTAACGTAAGTGGTGGCAGCACAGTAGTTGCAAGGGGTGATGGGATTCCTTATGGGATTGTGCCATGTCGGGAACAACTTTTGCAACAATGTTTTTTTTAAAACACACACACATATATATATATATATATATATATATGGAGAGAGACAGGTAACAAAATTAATGGCACACATAGCATATATGCCCACACACTCTCTTTCTGTCTCACACATACAATAATTCCTGGGGATTTGGAAGATTAAAATATAATACAAAAGCATTTCTATAGGCACCACAAAAATATATTTTCTACATTTTCAAACTAATCAAAGCTTGTTCTTTCAGCACAGCTCCCCCAAAACACTCCCAAATTTAAAAAATGTCCCCAAAACAGACAAAATAGGTATATGCCATTTGACATAAGCTATTTGGCATAAATTATAATAAACTCAGAAAATGAATCCTGTTTAAAACAAGAATTTCTGTTTAAAACAAGAAAATGTACAGCTTCTCCGTCATCTGAGAAAAGTGGTCACTGCAAAGAGTATTTTCCCTGCAGATACATATAAATGTTCAATGAGCTTATGATCCTTTTAAACTATGCTTCTATCCCTCTGAGTGACTCTTAAAATAAGGCTCTGTAAACTCCAACGTTCTAAGTAAATGTACCCAATAACCGTAATGACAAAAGGGGGGGGGGGAGTTCACTAATCCTGGCTCCTCCTCCTTATTAGCTCAGTATGTATTGCCCTGATCGCTTTACTGCAAGTCAAACTCTCTTTGGTTCAACTGGGGTATAAAATGACAGAGGAGTCACTTTCAAAAACATGTTGTAGGTGTCAATTTCATGACACCCTTGCCTCCCCCCAGCTCCACTGTTATAAGGTGCTGCTTCCCTTGGCTGTGTGTCTGGACAAGTGCAGGTTTACCTTGAGGGTAAGCGGGGTGATCTTCTCCTTGTTAACTCCGTCAGGTAAGAAATCCAAAAGGCAGTCCAAGACCACGTCCTTCACAGTCTGAAACTCGGCTTCCCCTTTGAGGTCTGCGCAGAAGATGAGGTCCAAGTCCTTGTAGCCCAGGCCACTGTCTTGGTGCAGGATGTGGCTGGCTGCCGAGCCATTGAGTCGCACGTCTCGGACCCCAATGCACTTCTCCTCCAGGCGGCTCCGCACCACCTTCACGATCTGCCGGGGCTGCATCTCCAGCGTGGGGAAGTTGCCCCGGCCGTGGATGGGGATGGTCTCGCTCAGGATGCGATCCAAGCGCCGCACTTGTTCCCAGCTCAGCACGTTGCAATGAGGGTTCTCGCCGCAAGTGCCCGTGCAATTCCCACTCCCGCTGCAGCTGCTACTGCTGGGGCTGCGGGCGATTTCATCGTCAGCCATGGTCCGCAGCCGTTTCCTCTCGGGAGCCTGGTACGTCCCTTTTGCGAGATGTCTCCTTGCTTCGCTCTTAACGGAACAGGAAAGCAAGCAATGAACGCAGGGTTTGACATGCCCAGTGAGCCCTTTAGACCCCCCTCCGACACTGCATCATAGAGGGGCTTTCGCTCTCCTCAGCGCCTAACAGCCGAGCTAGCTGCAGCCCCCCGCTCCCACCCAGAGGCGCAGCGTCTATAGATGCAGACCCCCGGGGATCCAACTCACACTGACACACATACGCACCCCACCCACCCCGCCCAAAGGAAGAGATCGCTCCGATCTTTATCACCTGGGGGGAGAGTTGCCTGCTGGAGACAGCAAAGCGGCGCTGCGCCTGTGCCCAGCCTGGGAGCGCGCCCGACCCGGGAGCCGCTATCTGCCCCGCTTTCTGCTTCTCCTGGCTACTTGTGCTCCGCCTGCTGGCTTGCTCGGCGCCGTGTGCTGCGCTGCGCTGCGCGGAGCTGCTGTGCCCGGCCGCCCCGGGTGCTGCTGTCTCTGGAGCTTTAGTAGTTCTGCCTGGGAAATGTCCCCAGTAGTTTTTATATGGGGTTTCTCCGCTCTTCCGGGGCCCCGAGTTACACGCTCCCCACGCCCCCTTCATTTGCATGGACAGCCCGCTGCAGCCCTTGGCTAGGCTCCCCCGCCACGCCCACCTCATATGCATAAACAGCTGTTCTCGGCGTAGTCAACAGTCGTTCCAGAACCGCCTTCGCCCCAAGCTCTACCTCGGGCCGGGATGCAAAGCTGGAGCTACTCAGACCCTGCCACTGCTTGGCCCCAATCCCCCCAAAACTGTAGCGCGGGACGAACCAAAGAAACCCCTATTCAGCCGTTGGTCCCGCACCAAAGCAAAATTCGGACCCTTAAGCATTCCGCACCAGAAATGCTGCAATACCCGCATATGGCAGCTGGATCCAGTCAAAATTTGCTTCCTAATCCCCAAATGCGAATGCCTGAATAGATACCATGTGGTGCTGCTCCTACTTCGCCAAAAAATTCTAGACCCCGGGGTATCCCTGTAGAGGAACGCCACAAAATGCCAAAGCTGGCACACGGAGCCTACAGAATCCAACCAGTTTTTGGCCCTTCCTTCCCAAATCCCCGGTAGCTACTACTACTGCACCGGCAAATGGGGACCGTGGTGCATCCAAATATGTACGCGGATCCAGCAGCCTCGTATTTGCCCTCCCACCCCATCCCTTTTCTAGGAGACATCAAGTTTAGACAACATTTCACATCGGACAAGTCTTTGGATTCGTTGCGTTTCGGTGAAACCAGATCACACATCTTCATCATTCTAAGCACAGCCAAATGTTATGCCCTGACACTGAAATTTAGCAGTGGACTGGTCGGTCAGATGGTGATGATCTCATTATTTGTGTTTTTAGCTGATCAACTCTTGACTGAGATTTTCAAAGCAGTCTAGGAATTGAGATACATATCTTCTTATCACATTTTAATGTGTGTCTAAATCTCCTGGACTGCTTTGACACTCAGTACATTGGATACATTAGCTAGATTGGATAGATTTATCTGAGGTAAAAGAATGGCTCCCTTTGCTATTTATCTAAAAGGTGAAAATGGATGAATGGAGATGCTGGATTTTTCATGTGGGAGGGTGCCTCAGCTTTTTATAGTGGACTAAGACTTGGTCTCTATGCAATACAATATAGGTTTGTGGTCAACATTGTGCTTGATCTGACAAGACTCAGGTGCCGTATATGTGTTTTGCATTGTTCTTGTACCAGGATGAGTCTGAGCGTGTATTTTTCTGGTTAAGGATGATGAGAAATATGTGCTGTCTATTCTTATAGTACAACTTCGGGGCTTAAACAAAATCAAACCCGAAATGCTAGGTTCCAGCAGGCTCCGGGTGCTGTCTTTGCGGTACTATTGAGCAGGGATGCATATGGGTAGGTTGGGTTCTGGGTTTTAGCGGCACTCACGCGCTATGTTAGGGTCCAGTTTTTTTTTTCTGCAGTAAGAGCTGAAAGACGTGTTTTCTATGGAGGCAATAGAACAGGGCCAAAAATTGATTGGATCCATCAGGCTCCTGCTGCTGAATCCGGATTTTTGCAGCGCTCATGCTCGGTGGTGCATGAACTGCCGTCTTCCCCCGCTCCCCCCCACCCTCGCAGTCGGAGGCTTGGGGCCAAATATCGGCAGGATCCAGGTATATCCAGTTTTTCCTCTGAGAAGGATTTAACAATATAAATACAAACATTACACAAGCAGAGCAGATTACACGCAGATCACGCAGCAGAGAAGAAGGCATATGAGTGCAGACAGGCAGTAGGTACAATACATGCTACAATGTAAAAACTGTAGCCTTCGTTTGCACAGCCGTGAGGCTAATCTTTTCTTCAATTAAAATGTCTGGTAGGCTGCTTTAAATAGTTGTGATGCTTTAAAATGGTTGGAGATGCGCCCTGAGTTTGCAGTGGGTAGATGTTGTATAAACAAGACTATAAAAAGGAAATTCACTCTTTTATCTCTAGTATTATCTTCCATATGTGTCACCGAAGTCCAGGCAACAGCTTCACCTGTGAGCTGCCCAATGTGGCTATAACTAGAGGCTCCTGCTACGCAGTTCCTCAGATGGATCAATCGGACACATGTAGAGGGGCGTGGGCACGGGCTGACTGGCGCATGGCGGCAGATGTGGCTGGCACGTTCCTGGGGGATGGGCAAGGCGAGCAGCCGCTGGACCAGAGGGAGCCGGACGGGACAGAACGTCACAGGTCCGGACGTTCCAGCAACAGCTGCTGGGCGATTCCGAAGGGCTGGGCTGTGCGAAGGGCCCCGCCAATCACCGCCGGTGACGGCTTCTCCCTCCCCTCGGCCCCGCAGGGCGAGGAGCCAATTGGATGAGCGTGGATAGGCGGGGCCGTGTCAGCTCCATGTGAATGAGCTCCGTGCGCTCACGGGCTGCAGCGGGGGTGGGGACAGTCACGCACAGAAGGCTGGCTATTTGCAGCCGCTCAGCTCTGGGGTAGATTCGTCGCCCTTATAGTATTAGCACCGGGCAAGCAGACGGGAGAGAGAACGCACAGTGCGGCTCCTCCATGCAAGCTGAAGGGTTTCTGCCTTCAGCACAGTGGGGTGGCTCCCAGCTGCTCTGCTTTAAGGCTTCAGAAGAGGCGAGGAGATGGGGCGGCCCGTAGACAGTTACCCTAGCGAACGCTATAAACAGTGATGGCTGGGGATGGGGGCTGTTCGCCCCCTTCCCCACCAGACACCCACCCACTGTTTCTGGGGCCCCTCCCTGGGGAAGGAAATCTCCGTGCAGAGTTGAGGAATCCCATTAGTCTGCAAGCCCTTTGCCGAGGAGAACAAAGCCACGCACACAAGCCCTCCTTTGCTGCCATACTGATTGCACTCTGGGCCGCCCCAAATGTGCAGGCCCAGCTGGTTCCATAGAACAGTGGCTGGGGAGCTTACCCTCCAAGGGGCAGAAGGAGACGAGCCGATCGAGGCAAATGGGAAAGGCCCCAGCAGTAACCCACTCCTTCTGCTCTCGCCCGGGACAGCGGGGGCCCAGCTGTGTGGCAATGCCTCCCCCTGCCGGTCGCTGGGCACCGTGCACCCACACACCGGGTCCCTCGCCTCCCTTGGCGCTGAGAACGCCTTTTCCTCCGAGGCACCCAGGGACGATCCCCGCTCAGCAAACGCGACGTTGTTATCCCCGCTGCAGGGGATCGCGCTTGGCCCCTGAAAACGCGTCTGCCTGCAGCTCCTTTTCCTGGCTGCTCCTGAGTAAGGTGCTGTGGGAGGGGTGCCGCAAAGGGGAACTAGCTGCCTCACATTTATACTCACTTGTCACAAAACTACATTTATTGTCAACAACGCTCCATTGATTTTGTAGCTCGGTGGACCCAAGCAGGGCATTGGCATTAACCTTAACAGACATCACACTTCTGGCCCGCTGACATTTCTAAGCACCGTTGCAGAAGCGTGCGTGGAGTAGGGTGAGATGTAGCCAAACCCTGGATCCAACCTTAGTTTGTTTTTTTTGTTTGTTTGTTGGGGGGGGGGGGGTTTGGGTCCCATTTTTGAAAAATTTCCCCCCCCCCTTTTTTAATTGGTTGAATCCAAA